GGCAGGAGCAGAAGCAGAAATGGCACTGTTCAGGGCCATAAAGGAGATGTTCTTGTGTGGAGACATCCCTGGCTCCCCGTTCCCCGGGGCCACTGGATGCAACCCAAAAGCACTAGTCTCCCTCAGGCCAGTGTCCACTCAAGGGAGTGTTCTTCCGGTAGATTCCCTTCTTGAGAAAAGAAACAGTGTAACACGGCATCCTCAGCAAGAAGACTGGGCCATTCAGAGGAAGGAGCCATGGGAACCACAGGAGCTAATGCCAGGCTGGGCCATCACAGCAACATGAGCCAAACGAGCGTTCAAGACTGCCACAGGCACAGCTACAGGACCGACCGGGGCTGCATGCAGCAGAGAGGGGAGCCATCCTCATGCTCGTGGACCACCTCTTCTCTCCTGCTCTGCTTGCTCCCCAGCAACCCAGTCTGACACTCATCATCAAATAAGGGATGGAAACGGGCAAAACTGAGTGGCAAGGTCACCAGCAACGAGGATTGATATCACTGGCCCATTATCTAGGTCTATCATGCGATGGCCAGCAACAGCCACCCGACAGTCACTTAAGTGAGGAAAATGTCTGTCCACATTTACCAGCGGTCTCTGAAAGTCATTACCAGAGCGGTGCTAGTCTCGGGTGGCAACAGCGAGTGCCAATGTCATCTGCATTCATCTGACATGCTAGCCGTGAGGAGGTAAGAATCAGGCCTGAGATCCTCCTTCATGAGGCCGGAGGCTCGTCCAGTGGAGAGAAATGGTGGTCACGTTAGGTGAAAAAATGGACAGTTGCATCCAGTGACCACGCCCCTAGGCCAGGGCAGCTGGACTTTGACAGTCCTGTGTTCATGGTCTGCTTTAAACATTGCCCATGGGTCCACAGGACAGGGAAAGGGTGGCTGGCCATGTTTTGAAGATGGGAACACAAAGGTTAAGAAAACTGCACGAAGCCACAGAGCAAGGGACGGGGAGTCTATCCTGGGGAATCTCCTAGGACTCAGAGCCAGGCAGCCAAGGCGGGCCCTGCCTGGGTCAGCTCTCCTCCTGCTCCTGTGTGTAGTGGAAGCTCTGCAGGGAGGCACTGTCTGGTATTCTGATCCTCAGGGAAGCCCCTCCCTAACTTCTGGCATTTCTGACACATGTAAGCAATCTAGCCTTTTTAAAGTCTATATTTTCTGATTATGTGACTATGACAGAAATCTTAGAGAACAGAGAAAAGAAGAAAATAAAAATCACCCACAATCCGGAAGCTCTTCAGTACATGCCTTGGAGTGGACATTTATTTATTCTTTATAGCCTGTCACCTCCCATGTATGGATTTGGTCTCCAGTGAGCTCATTACTTTGCAAAAGCCAATGTTGACAATCTTTTTCTTGACCCCTCCATGACCTTTGAAAAGTCCCTTATTCAGCCAGATATCTCAGTTAAACGTGTTGAAATCACTTAGCAAAAAAATTTTTTTTTCACTACCAAAACCCTTAATTCACCACATCTAGCCCCCACTTTGCACCAGTGTTTTGTGAGACGTCCTCACCCTGTACACACCAACAGTAGCATCTGTTTGGTGCCTGCTAGGCACAGAGGTCACTCCCAGCCAGACTGCTGCTGCTGTGAAGATTAAATAGCTTAGAAACCCTGAGGTAACTACCTGTGTCAGTTTCCTCAAATACAAATGGAGAACCCGAGAAACAAAGGCTAAACTGTCCAAGGCCCTTAGCCAGCAAGAGCCAGAACTGGGCTCTGAAGCTAAGGAGCCTACACAAGCAGCTTGACGTACATGTTCACAACCAACCTCTCAGAAATAGCTTCCCGAAGAACCCACAGAGTGGAAGGAGCTGACGGTGGGTGGGCATCTCGGCTCACTCTGCGCAGCATCTCACAGGACACCTGATCCAATACAGGCTCTGCCTTGACCCCGGCTTCCCCTCTTCTGTGGCCATTGCTCCTCCTAATCAGTGTCCAGATGGCAAATGCTATGCCGTCCTTTATAGGACTTTGGCTACAGATGACTAGCACTTTTTGTGGGAAATATGATGAATCAGGAGAAACACAAAAGGAGTAGGATGACCGAAGGGGAGGTGGGGGAGAGCAACTTTCTTTTCAGAGATCCAATCAGATTTCAGTGTGTGTGGAGTGAGGCTCTGTGGTATTATTTTAGTGTCGGAAGTGCAGTTGAGAGGGAAGGAGCGCAGTCCACAGACACAGCTCCAGGTGGCATGGCCTTGGGGTGACACTGCTCCTCAGGCCATGGCTGCCATGTGCCCAGCTTTTGCAAGGTCAAGCAAACCAGAGTTGACTGGGGTCCCTTGAGGCAGCAGAAGGCTACAGAGAGATAAGACCTTATCTCGGTGGAGAGACCTCACAGGGCAGCGGCACATGACCTTGTGAAAACAATCATGGCTGGAAGTGGGGGCACAATGACCTTTTAATGTCCCACATCTGCACACCCGGAATGCAGCCAGCTTAAGGCACAGGTGAACGTGTGATGCCGCCATGCACTTACTGACGGGCAGGGGAACGCAGCACTGGCGTCCTGGCTCACAATCCTAACGGGATAAACTCTTCTCCAACAGGCCCTTTCAACTGGGACAGCAGCAGCCAGCCCCTGCCCCTGTCTTCTTTCCAAGCCAAAGCTCCAGACAGAGGTGAAGGCAGGGGGGCTGAGGGGTACAGGGTTCCCCACTGACTTCCCAGTCCCACAAAACTGTATTCTAACAGCACCGGGCCCATGTGTTCCCTCCTGCAGCCCTCCCAGCCTCAGTCTACCAACTGTGAAGTTCCTTCACCACACTGCCCAGAGACTCAGGTTCCATCTCTCTCTTCATTTTCTCACACTCTACTTCAAGCCAACAGCGAGGCTGCTGGGTCTACTTTCCAGGCATCCAAGGACCTTGTTCCACTTTTGCTATTTTTGAGCTGGCCTCACGTCTGCCTCGAAGATGGCACTGACTGGTTCTTGCTGCTGACAGCCAATCTGAGCATTTTAGTCTGCAAGAGGGGACCTCTTAAAAGAGGACATCATCATGGCCTTCCTGCTCTAATCTCTTCAGGCTCTCCATGACCGGTAAAGCCAAGTCCTTCCACAGCTATGAGACCTGATGTCCTCCTGGACTCCCCTCTCGCTGTGCCCAGATCCCCAACTCCAAACCCTATAGCTACATAGACACCTCCTATACCTTAGGCTTTCAGACCTGTTAGTCTTTGCACCTGGACCCCGCCCCACCCCACCCCCATTGACTCTCCTCATGATCATTGCTGACTCCAAAATTCCCTTCTCACTGAAGACTCCTAGATCTCTTCCGGCACCTTCAGGATAGCACTTCTTACCCCCATCCCTGAGTTATTTCCCGCCTTCTTGGTACCTGCTGCAGACACACTGAGCTGTTCTTGCTTACCTTATCTTCTCCAAGGGGAACACAAGCTCTTTTTGATCTCTGATGTTCACCTCCCGACTCCCATGCTAGGACCAGAGCGGGAAAGGGTTCGCCCGGCTTGGTGGGCATTTACCACACGCTCACAGCAGACCGAGAGGGGGCACACTGGTGCTTTAAAGGCATAGTGGCTTAGACAATTAGCAAGCAAAAGAATGGAAGGCCAGATGAATGGCTGAAATAAGAGAATGAAAGCCACTGAAATTCCCTTTCTCATAATGGTGGACTGAACAATTAGGACCATCCCTTCCATTGAGAACAGCTAAGACATTTTCAAGCATTTCACATTGAGCATGGAAATTGCCTCTTAAGTATGATGAGGCCTTGGAAGCCAGAGAGGTTGGTTTAATCTGACTGGGAAAGCAAGAAAGTATATTGTAGTTTTAGACTGTTCTAAGAACTATGAAGAAGGGAGTCAAAACCTAGGGCCCTCTATGGGAACAGACTGCAACAGGGTCCCCACATTAACCTGGAGGCCCCCCAAAGGCCCACACTCCTGGAACAAAGCTGAGATAAAAAGAGAAAAGTTCTGAAACCCGACTTTTCATCACCTCTGGGTGTGTCTGGGAACTACAAATCGAGGACTGAAGGCCACCTCAGGCTGACAGGGCTCTCAAGTCCCGGCAGGGCCAACAAAAGTCCTCTCTGGAAGGTACTATCATCTTGGGCCTCAATCTATTCCTGTCCATGAACCTGACTTTAGACAATGCCACCCACAACTGCTGGATACCAGAGTGCCAGCCTGGAGGCAGGAAAGACTCCAAACACTGACTAACCTTGAGATGTCGGAAAGGTGGTTGTGCAACCGACCTCCCTGGACTATAAAACAAGCTTGAAATGCTCAGCAGAGAAGTAGAAACAGAAATTCCACAGCATAGCACTGAATGCATGGAATATATTCACGGTCAGCAAGGAAGCCAACAAGGGTGGGGTGTGTCGTGATGCTAGGGATGTATGACTCTGGAAGAGAGAGGGAAGGAAGGAATCACCAAGCTAGGGGAGAGTATTCATGTCACATGTCACCAGCGATCATGAAAGCAGACCATCAGCTTGCCACAGAAACTATAGAGTCCGAAATCCCAAGAGGGGAGGCAAGCAATATACAAATGTTTTTGAGAACTGAGACAAGAATCAGTATCCAATGCTGCCCTTCTCCACAGGCACAAATGCGGACAAGCTTTATCTGGATTTCCAGCTACGTCCCTGACTCAAGCACCGCTGTGATAAAACAAAACAACAAAACAAGCAAAAAACGATACCGCTTCCAGGTGGATTTCCAGGTCTCCTGGGTGCGAAATGGACTACTCTATTGTCTTGTAAGGGCTCTGTTTGCTTCCACCCCATCAGTACTTCTTAATTCAAGTGATGCTAGAAAGAGCCACCATTCCTGCACCCAACAGCCACGTCACATCCCACCTTCGGCCTCCCAACACTGGCTGCCATCTTTATACTGCAGGGCCAACAGCAGACAAGAGAAAAACAGTCAACCTGGGTTTGCCCCCTTTCCCGACCATCCCTGCTATCCAGGTGCCATTACAGAGGGGTCCAGGGCGGCTTCGGAAGCCATGCAGCACCTACAGGTCTGAAGGACTTGAAGACTTTTTCCAAGACTTCATGGAGCGTCTTCTTGCCGCAGGAAGAGATGTAATCCTGTGCTAGCTGCAAGAAGGGCAGGCAGTCCTCGCTCTCGCTCCACACGTGCTGCGGCCCCAGGAGGGCAAGGAGGAAACAAAGAACAGAAATCATTACCCCAGAGTTGTAAAGAACCGCGCACTCAAAGTCGGCCTCCATTACAGAGTGAAACCCACCCACTCGCTCTTCATTGGCTTGCGTGGCAAGGGATCAGAAAATGCCAAATCCAGAGAACTCTCCCAAGCTTTGTGGCCTGAGTCCCACCTGCTCTGTCTGCCATCTGCTTACAAGTCACCAGACAGCAGGGAGGCAGACAGACATTGCCCCGGCTCACCAGCTCCAGCAGGTGCATGAGGCTCATTTGAAAAGAGGAGGGAGGAGAAATCAGAGCCTGGGCCTTCACATTCTTTTACTTTGCCTTCAGCTACAGCTAAAGAATTAATTAACCATAGCTTGTAATCATGAACTTGGAACAAGGTGTTCCCTCTGCAGATCGCCCCAGGAATGGGGGTGCTGGTAAGTTTCTTCAGAACGGAACAAACTTAGGAGAATTTGCAGTCAGTACTGAGTCACTGGGAAGCTAGGTCATCCTTCATGGCACATTAGGTGGGCGTCCTACCCAAGCATCCCTGATCAACCTAGCACATGTGGACAGCAGCCTGCATTTAGGGTTTGCTGCTGTGCCTGAGGCTGGGGAACGTTTCTTTATGTGAGGAAATCCATCTTATCACGTCTTTAAGACTAAAGCAAGTTTTTCCCATAGTGGCCAAAGATCTAGATGCACTAGAGAAACAGACTGGGGAGGTCTGGATGAAGAAGCTCTACTTCTGCAGAGCCAACCAGCCAGGAACACAGGGTATCCCACAGGTACCAAGGGTCTGTCTTGGGGGTATCAACTGATGAGACAGTGCTGAGGCCGGGGAAAAGGGAAGGTGTTTGGTGGCCTGGAGGAGGCACAAAGGCTAGGCAGGAGACAAGACCTAGTTAGGAGAAGGGCTCCAGGGAGTCCATGTAGTACCACCTGCCTGCTTCTATTCATGTACATAAGCAGGGCATCACCCTAGGGAGTTCGATTTGCCATCCCATGAGCATATCTCATTGCCTTCTTTCTCACCACAGGATGCCTAAGAGCTGTGTAGACACAGCTGGGGTCTAAGTGAGGCTATGACAACTGAAAAAAAAAAACAAACCACCATTTAATAACTGCTAATCGTCTTACAGCTACTGTACTTAAAAAATAAACAGTATTTGATTTTATTTAAACTACTTCTTTTCAAAACTAAAGGTATCTAGCAGGGTTAGAATACAAGACAAGATGACCCGAGAGGTAAGTCTGAAGTGTGTGTGTGGAGAGTGGACCGAAGGAAAATAAAAAAAGGAAAGAAATACAAAACCAGAGGTGATAAGAGATTTAAGCAGCCAGGTGAGAGGGCAGAGCCTGCAAGGGTCACGAAGACAAATGGTTGGGTGGCTGAAACCCCGAGTCCTGGGCCAGGAGGTACAACCGCTGTAAATGCCGCTGGGAAAACGCTCCAAGCACATATAACCCAACACCACATCAGCCAGGGAAAAACTGCAGCAGGAACTGGAGAGGCTGGCTGCGGCCACAGAAACAGCTTAGCTGGGAGTGTCGGACTGAAGAATACTAGCTGCCCTGGGTACAGACGGTGCTTGGAGCCCTTGGGGACAGTGGGCTGCAGGCCTCCTGTAATGGCAGGACATGCCAAGGAGGCCGGAAGTGACACGGAGCAGGCCTCTGCAGCTTCAGCAGTCACCTGGAAGCTTGTTACAATGCAGATTTCCAGGCCCGCCTCCCAGAGTTTCTGATTGGAGGTGGGCTACATTTCAAAACTTTTCCTGGAGAACTCAAGCAGTTCCAGTACTGACCAGAGCCACGAGCTGCATTGAAGTGGCCTCCGCTGGCCACACCCCGGGCAGTCTGCCTCTCCCACAGCAAACGCCCCAGGTGAACAGGCCTTCTGTGGCTCTTCCTTCTGTTACAGCAGGCTTGAGCTCACCCAGCTAAGACAACACAAGCATGTCACCCCTCAACAGGAAGGGGGTGTGTTCCACTTTCTGTACAGAGGAGATCTGGTCATCAGAATGTGACATTAAATCAGTACGATAACTCAATCCTGCTGAATTCTTCTTGTCCTGACGGGCGCGCTGCCAGACTTCCTGTATGGACCGATGAGGTCAGGAGGGTTTGGCGTACACCCCTGACCCTTTCTGAACATCTGTGGCCTGAGCTCTGTGTCTCTCCCATTGCCACGTAACTGGTCTCCTGTAGTCGCAGGTTCGGAGCCAGGGATGTGACCTAACTAGGATGGGAATTATCTGAAGAGAAAAGCAGCGGCCCTACTGAGCGCGCAACGTCTGTACGGCATTATTCCTGAACAATGTAGAACGACGTGCACTTACTTCACACTCCCACGGTACTAAGTAGTCTAAGACAGTTAAGGCATACAGGAGAATGTGTGTAGGGTGTGTGCAAATATGTCATTTCACACAACAGCTCCGAGCAGCCTCAGATTTTTGGCATCTAAAGAAGGTCCTAAAACCAACTTCCCCATGGACCATCCGAGCTGAAGCGCAGAGTGTCTGCTAGTCTTGCTCTTTTTGGGGGGGTGCGGGGGTGGGTTTTTGTTTTTTGTGAGACAGGGTTTCTCTGTGTAACCGCCTTAGCTGTCCTGGAACTCACTTCTTGCTCCATTTTTAATTGGTGTCTCTTAATCTAAAACTGATGTCTGTCCGCAGAGCAGACAGAACACCAAAACCACAAGCCACCTTGTGGCACCCAACGTACTTGCACACCCAGAGGGCAGAGCATGGTTAGCCATAACCAAGGCAGTCTGCTCATTGTGTGGAGCATTCTGTCCAGGAGGAATCTGAGGCTCAAAAGGTTAAGTAACTTCCTTGTGGCTACATGGGCAGCAGAGGGCAAAGGGCACCCCACAGGGAATCTGCATGCATACCCTCAACTGCCTCTGTGCAAGCTGCTTAAGGGAGCTTTGGCTCAGCCATGTGTAAATCACAGACAACAGTTATTCCCAGAGGGGGGGTCTGAAGATCACAAGCGTCTGCCTGCGAACTGTCTATCATTTAGCAGATAATCAGTTAACTGCTTGTTCCCCATTATTTGGACCATAACACCCCAATTTTACCGTCTTCAAGATTAGCTGAATACCACGACTGTTCTTCCTTGAAATTACCTCTATCAATAAGGCAACACCACTGTGCACATGACTCTTCATACAGTGCTCACAGTAATAGTGGCTTATAGGAGGAGTATCCCACTCTGTGGATGGGGAAACCAAGAGTAGCAGGCAAAGAGAAGCCTTTTCTCCTTCACACCATCACAAAACCACAGTGCAATCCCATTTCAATACACCACAGAGACATGCTGACAAGTGAGAGCTATGGAAACATGTATTTAAGAGTTGATCAGAGTCCCTCCGTGAGCACTGTTTCTTTAATAATATGACTATTGTTTTGGTTTGCCACCTTCTGAGGGCTGGGCTCAACCACCATGCCCAGCTCCAGACCATATTTTAGATCCTTGAGAGAGACGCTGGTGGTAAGGTGGCAGCAGGGGCGGTGGTGGGGGATGGGGGTGGGGTGGTCTCAAGCCTGTATGTGACCTGTCTCCTGGCATTTCTAAGTTCCTACAACACAAGCATTTCCTGCCTGAGGACCAGAGAGACCTGAGGATCCTGCCCCCAGTTGCTGGGGTTATAAATTGGTTTTTTGTTTTGTTTTGTTTGAGACAGGGTTTCTCTGTGTAGTTTTGGTGCCTGTCCTGGATCTCTCTCTGTAAACCAGGCTGGCCTGGAACTCACAGAGATCCACCTGGCTCTGCCTCCCAAGTGCTGGGATTAAAGGTGTGTGTCACCACCGCCCGGCAAGGGGTTATAAGGTTTTATATGGGCACTGGGGATCTGAACTCAGGTCCACTTGCTTTCACAGTCATGGAGGGAAACAGGAGGGAACCGCACACGCTTTGCCCACAATGCTGGCACAACTCTGATGATCTGGACCCAGGAAGAGGGCAAGAGAAAGCTAGGTTTTTAGAACTGGGGCTAGGATCTATCATATAGATGGCAGGAACGTTTACAGTGATTACAGCAACACAGGCTCCCAGATATGAGCGCCGAGCACAAGCTAGATGTGCTCTCCAGCAGCCCTGCCAGGCACTGACAACAGGCTGCTCATCACTTTAAGGCAGGTAATAGGAGGTCACAGCTGCTTAAGCTGGCAGACAGGAGTTCAATGATGTCTCCAAGCACAGACAGAAGTGGGAGCTTGGATGTCTGAGCAGACTCAGGGCTGCTACATAACTTCTGAGCTAGCTAAACATCCTTATGGGGATGATGCCATTTGTATGCTGGATTTAGCCCTGACCCAGGAAAGACCAAGCCCTCATTAATGTTTGTAAGTTTTTCCATGATCTAAAACTTTGTAAATTGAGAGATGCCACGTAACATTCTTATGGTTACCAAAATCTTCAAATAGCAGAGATACCACTTAACTCAAATTTCTTCAAATGCTTAACAGATTTTCCTAGAAAAAAATGACAAGACCCAAGAGGCAAGCACTTAGCACACCCAATCTGGTACAGATTTGAGGAGCACTTTGGCTAAGAAAACACCTGTGGTTGGTCTCCAGAAACTTTGAGAAAGTGCTAGTGTATCCAAGGAATGGTCTTCTCTATACCTTATCCCCTCCTTCACATGGTCAGCCAACACTTTGCTTATGCTAAAAACAGCCGATGTGCGTTTACATGAATCAATAACTTATCTGTCTCCCCTGTGAAAACGGTTCTGTGATAAGGTATTATTTTTGAAACAGGATCTCAGGATCCTAGGCTGACTTGGAACTCACTAGGTAGCCCAGGAAGACCTTGAATTTCGACCCTCTGCTTCCACCTTTTAAGTGTAGGGATTACACCCCACAGACACCCCACCTCCACTTTGGCAGTGCTGAGGCGCCAACCCAGGGCTTTTCACTTGCTACACAGGAGCTCTACCAACCGAGAGCTACATCCTTAGTTCCCAGTAAGGGTTTTTAACAAAGTGCGTGGGGAACACCAGGTTTCTGAACTGGACGTTTGCGGGACACGTGCCGTGCATCAGCCTGCTAGGTGTACCTAAACAATTGCCAGAGAACTGGTATCAGGAAAATAATTTTGTGGATAGGCAACTCAAGAAAAGACAAGTGGACAGAACTCAAATCTAGCTGCCACCCAAAGCCAGGAGCATATTGGCCAGGTACGCATCAGTCTACACTTGTCCTGTCCGGGTTTGAGAAAGGTCTCGCTGACTTCACTGTGAACTGTTCTACAGGTGAGATATTTATTTTTGAGATAGGGTCTCAGGGATCCTAGGCTGAACTGCCCGTGGATAGGCTGGATGCGCGGAGCCCGGGGTCCATGTCCAGCTTTGTCACTCCACCTGATGAGCCAAGCCAGTCGATGCACCGCCCCATCTCCCTCCGCAGAGGCAGCAGCAGCGCCTGCTCCAGCCTCAGGCCAGCGACCACACGATAACCCTCATTCCCAGCTGCCTCCATCTTACATTTGGGGACTATTATTTATAGTGCTTACAAACACTCCATGGCGCGCCATCCCTGCCCTGCCCCCACGCCTCCCATCACAACCTCGTGCTCTCTGCATCCCCTTCCTAAACTGTCAGCGCCAGGATCCCTAGTGGGCGGGATGCGGGCCGAAGGCACGGTCCTGGTCCCTCTGGGCCGGGGTGTGGGTTCTTCCTCTGGAAAAGCGGAAAGGCCTCGGTGGGGCCACAGCAGCCTCATGGCTGCCCAGAACCTGCACAGGGGACACACACTTGGTGGCAGCTCATTGAGGAGCTAGGGAAACGTGGGACCGGGGATAGGCGTGCCCCCCACCTCACGAGCGCGCGCGAGTGTATGCACGCGCGTGCATTTTCAAGCTCCAGGGAGTAATTCCGCAAATAGGGTCCAAAAGATCTAGCATTGCGGGTGTAGACAGAGGCTTTGTGTCCTTCCGAGGGACTCGCAGCTTGGGGCGGGGGCCCTGATGGGAGGGGCAGCTGCAGAGTTGTGTCTGAGATCCCGAGGGGGAAGAACACCTCCCCCGGACCGGACCTTGGATGTAGACGCAGGGGCTGTGCGCCCCACCCGGAGGATGCCATACAGGGACTCCCTGGGGATGATTTGAGCCACGCGTCGGGCATGGCGTGGTCCGCGGGAGGTCGCCACACCTCGGCTCGGCGGCCCCGGGTGCCCAGCCGCTGCCACTCCGCCCCACCCAGCCTCCCTGGAGGAGCTCGGGTGCAGCGCAGCTCGCCTTCCCCAGGTACTCACAAAATTGTCGCCGCAGCCGTTGTCGGGACACAGCACGTAGAAGGATACGCCCGGGTCGGCATAGAAGTCCATCCTGCGCTCGGTCTCCTCGGCGGCGATGAGCTCGAAGGGCGTGCAGGAACACCACTTCTCCGCGACATCTGCCAGCTTCTGGAAGTCCATGGCGGCGCCGCCCGCGCCTCCTCCGGGGCTCGCGGCTCCCGGGTCTGTTTACACCGCCCGCTCCGCCTCCGCCCCGCCCCCACCCCCGCCGCCCTTCTTGAAAGGAACCCAAGCACCCGGGGGCCCCGCCAGCCCCGGGCCGCCCCAGGCTCGTGACGTCACGAGCCCTGGCCAATCCCCGGAGCCCGACCCGGCGCGGCCCAGAGCCCGGTGACGTCAGGGTGTGGGCGGGGCGCCCGTCTCCGCAGGTGGCGGCGGGGTGGGGCGGGGCTGGCTCCGGCCCCTTGGTGTAGAGCCAGAGTGGGAGGCTTGCTCCGGAATCCGGAATCTGCTCTAAACGCAAGAGTCGCTCCCAGAACTACAGACTGCTTGGCCCTTACCAGGGCTGATGGTGGAGGTGCTGTGAGAGCCTAGGAAAACAGCTTTGCTATCTACAGAAACCAAAATTCAGTCCTCCAAGGAACCCTGAATATTTTCTAGACTGATTTGGGAGGAAGTGTGCTCTTACACGCACATCAAGTTCAGTGCTTTTTACAAATACCTTCGCTATGATTCGGTTTGAAATCATGTTGTATGACCTAGAATGGCCAATTGTTATTTTTTTTGTTGGTTTGGGGGTTTGGGGGTTTGATTTTACATTTTGAATTCCTGGAGATTGTACCCAGGGTCGTGTTTTTCCTATACCGGTACACTACCACTGAGCCACATCCCCAGCTCGCTGGGAAAGCACGCAGCCTGACCATTGACCACACCTGTTGAATGCTCTGGCTGCTGCGTGCCCAACAGACACCCTGGATTACAGGGAGTGCAAGAGTCCTCATCTGAACACTCGGCTTCTGGAAGGGACACATTAAATAGCATCCATTCTATAAACATCCATCAGTGGTTGTTTTTAAAGTATGCCTTGCTAACTGGAGCTGTGAACACGAGTGGTAGGTCTCTGCCGTAGTGAACTGCTAACTGGAGCTGTGAACACGAGTGGTAGGTCTCTGCCGTAGTGAACTGCTAACTGGAGCTGTGAACATGAGTGGTAGGTCTCTGCCGTAGTGAACTGCTAACTGGAGCTGTGAACATGAGTGGTAGGTCTCTGCAGTAGTGAACTGCTAACTGGAGCTGTGAACACGAGTGGAAGGTCTCTGCCATAGTGAACTGGCAGTCTGGCCAAGTCCAGCTAGTACACCAGAGGTGGTGTTCTACGGTTGTCTGCTTTGATTATTTCTGGGGCAAGGACTTTCTTTCTCTTGGCTCCCCTTAGTCAACTGAGGCAGAATCCCTATAGTGTATCCATCAGGCTCTGAGTGAAGGAAGAGACAGTGAGCAGCCCAAAGGCATCCCGCACAACACAACTTTCTGGATCTTTTTCTTTTCCTTAGCTGTCCTTGTCTAGAACTTCACCCTTAGAACAATTCCCTGATTCCACCTGTCTTCCCTGAAGCCAGTTTAGTTCAGTGGAATATCTGTTGGATACCAAAGATTCATGAGGCACAGCTTTGCCCTCGAGGAGCATACAACTCTACACAGAACCTAAACAGCCCCTAAGATTTCTGTCCCCCTGGGTGTATACACAGGCCCACCAACTAGCCTGTCAGATGCTAATCTAGGTGCTGTGCTGATTTTGCAGATGCACTTAAGGCACTTAAGATAGGGAGATGATCCTCTGTGAGCCTGCTGAGATGAGCTCTTAAAATGTGCCGGGTACATCCTGGAGAATATCCAAGGTGTCAAGGATTCATCACTAGGGGTGGAGGTGGGCACCTGGCTGGGAACAGGTGTAAAAAACAATCCTAGCCAACAACCAGTAAGAGAGCAGACTTCAAGAAGGAACTTAAGTTGACTTTCTCTCAAAGTTTCCAGACAAAAACTGTGTCAGGCTGATGCCGCAGAATCACTCTTGAGATGCCCTGAGCCAAGAAGCTAGTTATGCATGACTGAGCTGCATCTCCGCTTCCAGAACTGTGGACCACTAAATGGGTGTTTTAAGCTGTTGAGTTTGTTTAAATTTCTCTTGTAGTAGTAGAAACAAATAAAGGGGCAATGAAAGAGACCGGTGTCAGTAGAAAGTGATACCGAATATGCTGTTACCAAGTTGCAAAGCAGGCAACACAAGGATCCCGAGCATCCTTCCAGTTTTATCTGGTTCTGTCTCTTTAACTATGTGTTAATCTGGAGGGCAAAACCGCCCTTCCTGGGGGGCACAGATGGAGAAAGGAAAGCCTACAGGCGGTTCCCCTTTGGTCACTTACTGAGTAGTTAGTTAAACAGCTTGTCCATGTATCACAGCCCAAATCTGTTCCAAAAGTGTTTCACTGAAACCTCCGTTTCCGGCGATGCCTGGAAAAGGGACCTCTGCTTAGACAAGATCATCAGCCTTCATCAAGTCTCCACCTCCTTGGGCTGGTCCTGGGGGGTCCTGAGGGCGGGACTGTGTCCACTTCAGAGCTTCTGCCAGGCCTTTTGTGTTGTTGGTGGGTGAAGGAATATCAGGGCCTACAGAACAGGGCCTTTTCTTGTGTTCCCATGAGCCCATTCCCATGGTCTGGAAGTAGAAGTTTATTACTACCAGTGAGTATAGAATTGAGCAGTCTTCACTGTACTTAGAAAAATACTTCTGCTCAGAAGCCTTGCTGTCTTTAAGAGTTGCCGCCTGGCTTCTGGGAGCTGTGCGCTGGGAAAAAAGAAAATACAGATGCATACTCATGGGCTGGGTGGTCTTAGGAGCTCCGTTTGGAGAGGCAGAGCCTACCCTACACTCAGGCTAAAGCCAGCTTTCCACCCACCTGGCTCTTCGGGTCTCTGGGTTTTTAAATCTCCATTGAGTAAGGCTGACTTTAACATACAAGTGGACCTCCGATTACTCCCTCGTGGCCAGTCCACTTACTTAGTCTACTCTTTGGCAAAATCTATTCTGGCCAATTCCCTCATACAGCCTCGTGATTCCACAGCAGGAGGAGCTAGGAGCAGAGATTGCTGGCTCCATGTTCACCCTTGGTCCGAGCCCAAGGCAGCCGCGTCCTGTCAGGAGACAGTCCAGGCAGTTGGTAGAGGCATGTGTGGTTTGATCCAACATCTGAGGAGTGACATACAAAAGAGCAACCCAGGAAGGAGGAGAGGGCACCCCTGAAACACAGTCTGGAGGGTGCACGGGGTGGGGGAGGGGGAGTCGAGGGGACACAGAGAATGAGGTTTGCGCCAAAGTTTATGTCTCCTTGAAAACAAAGCCCAAAGAAAAGTGAAATTGAGAGACGAACAAAAATTAAAATTTACATAAAAGAATCATTTGAAATTTACCCAGAGTGTCTGCAAAGCTCAGGGGAGTGATTTCTGCCAACAATCCTATCATCTGGCTAGGAAAGGCCATTCAGAATGTTGTTTCTGAATATGCCACTGCTAGTTTTTACTTTTGTTGTTGTTGATGATATTGCTTTTAAAGGCTTTAATCTATATCCATCCCCAAAGCTAGAGATCAAATCCAGAGCCCTAAGCATGCTAATATCCCTAAGCATACACACACACACACACACACACACACACACACACACACACACACACACACACCACTAGCCCTGGGTCTAGAATCTGAGGAAGTTAATGGTTATGCAATTTGGTTACATTTGCCTTAAACTTGTCTTACAGACCAAATTCACTTGGGAAATATTCCCTTTTTGCATATGTCAAACAAACAGAAATGTCTACATACATGGGTTTTAATTTCATTATTGATTTGAACACTTGAGTATTCTGTATCATTTAATATTTCTCCCCATTGTAACTATTTCAATGACAGTATTTTCTCATGCCCTCACTTCTACACTTTGACATTGCCCTCCTGCAGCAGAGCACAGGAAACAGCACTGTCTCACCGCTGATGCTAAGACTTGAAAAGTGTCAAAACTGATTTTTTTTTTAACATTTGTTTGCTTGTTTTTTCTATTTGTTTTAGATTGTGGGGCTGATTCTCCCTCTACTTCCTGCCTTCTGAAGGTAGTAGGACCCAGGTACATAGTCACCTTTTAGATAAATAGGTGTCCCAGAGTACCTTGTTTCAGAGCACCCGTGGGCACAAGGGATTTCCTCCAGGAAAAGGTGGGGACCCAGCTGATCTGCTGACTGGAAGCTGGTGCCCTGTTAGCATCAGTCTGGTTACTATGACATCGCCACCAGTGTGCTCAGCATCAGTGGGGATGATGGGAAAGGAGCTTCAAGAGTACAGCTCAGACTGGTGACGCAAGGCAAGACCTCAGATGGTAAGCTACACTGTAATTGGCAGTGTGACATTGGTATGTTACCTGTCCTGGGAACCCCAGTTTCCACACCTGTGAAGATGGACATATATTCCTGACCCTGTTGTAAGGATTTAAGAAGGTGTGGGGAGGTGGGAAAGAGGGGGAAAGGTAGGGAAGGAATAGAAATATACTGCTTTGTTTTACACTTTATTATTATTTTATGTGTATGAGTGTTTTGCCTACATGTATGGCTGTGTACCATATACATGTCTGGTGCTCACAAAGACCAGAAGAAGTTACTGGATACCCCGAGACTGGAGTTACACACAGCAAATCACCATGTGTGTGCTGGGAATGAAGCCCAGGTCCTTTGAAAGAACAGCTAGATGTCTTAACCCCCGAGCCACCTCTCTAGCCTGGGTTTTAAAGTATAGGAAATTAGACTGTACGCTTAAACTTACAGTAGCATTCTTTAGTGTTCAATGTGTGTAGAAGTATGGATTAAGTTGACATTTTGTTAAATCACGCATGAATGTTACATTTTTGATGCATGCTGATTTGACAGTGCATTTATGTAATATGTATAGAAGTATGAATAGGCTTGAGATTGTCTTAAATCCAGAATGCATGTTAAAATTTAAAGGTGCAGTAATTAGGCATCACATTCATCTCTCATAATTTAAATTTTGACTGAAAGGATGAGACAAGAGAGAAGTGTATCTTTGTTGTACAGGAACAGAATCTGAAGGTGGGCCGGTCAGAACAGATTTGGTGAGTCTTTGATCATGAGACTTCGCTGTGTGGGGGAGACTTTATGTAGCTCGACAGGAAGTCACAGCAAACTCCACAAAGGA